TAAGGTGGACAGGGACTGGACCTAAGGGAGGGGGAAGTAGGTGAACCTCTATGGTCAACAGAGTATGCAATCAAACTCTGTATACATACCGTTTCAAGCATTCTGACCTGGTAAGAAACGACAACAAGAACGATGCTGTCGGTTTGCTGCCATATCCTTTAATGTCTCCAACCAACCAATTGTAGAGTCTTTCGGACCCCAGCCTGGAAGGCGAGTGACACCTACTCTACCTAATGGCTTTGTGCACTTCTTCATGCCTCGTCTCCACGTCATCTGTTGACCTCCACGTGGTTCTCTCCAGCCCGAATTAGCTACAGCGAATAAAGCGCGGTGCGGTAGACGACAGCTGGGCATACGCAATACGTGCCCTAGCCAACGAAGTCTATTAATCTGAATTCGGTGTGCCTGATAGACTCCCGAACATACGACTTACCTTCGCGTTACTAACCCGTTCGCTCCATCTACGTAAAAAAAAACAATAATCGAAAACTTCCAGTCGACGGATATCTTCTACTCGCAAATTCAGGATCTCAGAACCATAAAGCAGGACTGAACGAACGCTAGCACAATAAACACGACCTTTCAACTTCAGTGAAACGTCGAGTCTACACCAAAGGTGTTTCAGTCCTGCGTATGCTGCTCGAGCCTTGGAAATGCGAGCGGTTATCTCCGTTGCTGCACTACTGTAATTGGTCACACAACTACCCAAGTAGGAAAAGTAATCCACCACAACAAAACCCTGGCCATTTAGTTTCAGAGTGGGAGTAGACGAAACCCGGTCCTGCAGTATTACTTTGCACTTTGAAGGTACAAAACATATACGCAATGTGGCTACTGCATTTGTTAATCTATCAAGTGCGCCTTGCGCGTCCCCCATACATTCGAACAGACAGACAACGTCATCGGCGTACTCTAAATCGCACAGCTTTTCTCCAGCTGCCCATTCAATACCTACACTTGGGAGTCTACTTAGTGCGTTCTCCAGTATTTCGTCTACGACGAAATTAAACAGGAACGGTGAAAGAAGGCATCCTTGACGGACGCCGCTACTGGTGACGAACGGCCTACTTAGATTGTTGTAAACGCTTACACGACCGCAGGTCTGTGAGTACACTGACCTCAGTAGGTTAACGATAGATGTCCAGATATGGTGCACCATCCAAGTGCAAAGGGGTTGTATAAGATTAACAGGGGTTTGTGCATGCACTAACCCTTTGTGGTGGCCAGTTAGAAGTAGTTGAGAGCTCTCAATACCACCCAGTTAAGAAGATGGAATGGAAAAGATAATTCCATGATTAGTAAAAACTAGGGTAGCTTTAGACAACCTGCGACACCTGTGCCACCGTTATGTCCGTGATGTCCCCCAAGGAAAGGTGGGTACATTGACGTGGTCCGTTGTGTTTTGCTGGACGGTTCCGAGACCTGATCTCTACGAGCTAAAGATGCCAATAGAATTTCTGTATCCTAGCGTAAATGCTTTCGAAACATCGCTACTGTCTGGTGGGAACGTCGAGTGAACAATGAGGTTTGTCATGTGTTGGGTGCGGATTATCGTGCTCTGAAAGAAGCAATCGTTCTACACCGCCTTCGATGACTCGGTCATCTTTTGCGTACTTCCGAATTCGATTGGTGTCATTCGCCCTACAGGCTAAGACAAACAGGATAAAGATTATCGACGGCTAGAGACGTTGGAATATACGGTTCAAAAAAGAAGTCAGAGATGCGATTGTTGTTATTATGAAATATTCTATAGACTATCAAGTCACGTTCGTTGCGATTAGTGGCATCTAACCCACTTACAAAAACGTTGAATTATAGCATTGATTCTTCAATGGACTGGCTCCGAAAGAACTGTCTATCCAAACGTCACCCGGTGATGCAAACATGGTTATTGTGTCGAAAATATACTTCCTGGGTACAAGTATATGAATGAACTGACAAAAGATTACCGGACACGCATGCCTGACGAGCGGCAAGGACCACGAAACCGGTCGTGTGCTTCCAGGGAAATTTTGTCCAGTCATTCACATACTACTTGTTATGAAATATATATGATAACAAGTGTTTCATCCGTTAACAGTGTATTTTTTGCGGTAGACACCGGTAGAAATGAAGTGAAGCTGTGCTAGATATTACTCGTTCGATATTACGCAATCAGCTTCTATTTTCAAATGTTTCGAAAGACTGGTCAGCCCATCGGACCTCGGTTTATCTACAAAAAAGTACCTATAAGTATCACGATTTTGAAAAAAACGCTACGTGCCACACCAGCTAATAGGACTTAGATAATCAGATGTATTCGACTTTGCTTCTTGGAAATATGAGCCCTCCTTCGCAATCTAATCTCCATCAAAGTAACCAGTGCTGTGGTTCACATGGGATGAACGAGATGCATGAAAACCTATCACGCCTATGGGATTTGGAGTTTGCTTTAAGGACCTTTATATACTACCACGGAACACATCATGACTGGAGCACCATTCAATACAATACAGAGCAATGTCAACCTCAGAGAAATGATCCGGCGGACCGCGAGTACTTACTTGGCGATTTCATCTTCGCGTACAGCTAACTCAGTACGACACAAATTTAGCTCATCTGCCTGATCTTGTAAAACTGCTAAGTCACGAGAAAGACGAGTTACACGAGCCTCGGCTTCCGTGGCTCGTTTTCGTGCCTCATCTAACTGGTTACGAAGCTCAGCGACCACATTCTCCACTTCATCCCGATAGGTGCGTTCCTTTTCCAGTTCGGCCATCAAACGACGTTTTTCACGTTCAGCTTCCCGAAGTCGTGTCTATTGGAATGTAGAGACAACAGAAACAACAGTTAAAACAAGACAATAACTTCGGTATTCGTTTAGTTGTATTCAAAGGAAACTATAAAGTGTTCCATTTTTATTCTAATTACTCTCAATCGTAATTTTCGGTAAAGCGGTTAATAAAACGGCTGTCATTTGATACAACCACAACGAGAAAGGTTGCGGTGATAGAGCTTCAGTTCAGTTCAGTTTAGTTTGCACAGGACGGAAGTGGTCGAGACCAATCGTGCGTCCAGATTGTTGTGTTGTCAGCTAGTATCCTTGACTTCCAACACTGCTCGTCAAAAGTTCGTTCTGCTTTTTTCTGAAAGGCAGAATATTTAGCTTGAGTCCAAAACTTCTTGGGCGATCATGTGATGACTTGAACCGCTTACCGTCACCGCCCACGACAGATCAGGTCAAAAATTGACTAGTAGGAACCATCTTCCGATCACAAACTCCCTTAATAAAACATAACACGCCGGGAAAGACTATATAATGAGATCTATACTACACGGACGAGCAATGACAATCTACGAAGTCCAAAATTTTTTGGGCCGGTGTGCGACCGTGATTATCTGTTTATATTCGTCCTGCCGACAACTTGCGTTCATTCTGTAAATGAAAGTCACTATACAGCGGAATACCGATTTCTGCCTAGCTCATAATATCAGCAAAGTGGATATGGATTGAGGCTATTTTCACGGAGGGGGAGGGGGTTAAGAAAGTGAGCCAAATGATCCACACAAAATCTGTGCATACACATTTCAGGCATTCTATCCTGATAAGAAGTGACAGTAAGGCCAGTTTCTGTTCGTTGCCATATCCTTCAGCGTCATCAACGAAACAGTTACAAGGCGTTTAAGATTCCAACCTGGTTCAACACTCCAAGTTCCGGTACTCAGGTTGCCGATTCCCATCACTCATCAACAGATGTTTGTGACTATGGAGTCTACTCTCTCTGATATTCGTCACACATGTGTATAATTCTAGTAAATCACTCCGTGTAGCCCTTGGTGCCCCGTCTCCACATCATCTGTGGACCTCCACTTGGTTTCATCCTGCCCGGAGCGCCAACTACCAAGAGAGTGCGGTACGGCAGTTGAACGCCAGGTATGTACAACACCAATCCCAAAGAGAAAATTTTACCATTCTGAATTCGATAAGATAACTTCCACCATATCATTCTCAAACATTCGTCGACCTTCCTTATCCTCTCGTTCCATCGAATCTGCGCCAAATTATGACTGCTGACGACCTCTGAGAGATTGAAGTATACCACGTGTAAAATCAAGGTCGTGAGAGAATTAGGAAGAATGAACCATATGATGGCGCAGTATATACGACCTCTGTTAGAAGGAAACGACAGGCCGGTGACTGCAACATAACAGACTGATCGCCTCCATGGGTAAAGCGATAAGCTTATAATAATAATACGGTTTCATGTTGCAACATGAGATTCCATCAGTTAGGCCTCCAAGATCCGCCTAGAAACCAGCGATTGGACGAGACATACAATGTTGTGAAGATTACAAGAATGCACAACGCTGATTTGCGAATTGACTAAAGAAAGATATCAAATAAATGGACGACAGATGGACCTCAATAGTGGACCATGTATGTTCATGTATTTCGTCAGACGAGAACCTGAAGAAACCAAGTTTAAGTCCGTCAATCTTCAATCACGAGGGCAAGTTAAAAGAGGCGGAATATTTTAAGGCAAGTACCGGGACAATGAACAGTCATTAGTTCAATATTGTTTCCCCAGTGTAA